GCAGCCAGACCTGCTGAGCTTTTCCAGCAACTTTGTTTTTGTTCCTGATTTACAGAATCCGCAGTTCTTTTGGTTTTTACAGGCAAATAAATGCTGGTCAACCAGTGATGCCCATATCTAAGTGAATTAAGAAAAGACAGACAGGTTGAGTCTGTACATCCAGTGGCTGTTGGCACTGATTTTGGATCTCAGCATGCAGCCAGAACAGCTGTGATCCTGGGTGGATTCAAGACACGAGAAATGAAACTTCAGTTGGAAGCCAAGTAGGGAGAGTCTGAGCCAGAGGCAGTCACTGAGGAATGAGATGAGGCTGGAGCAAGTTTTCACAAATACTCTTGTCAAACACTAGCAGCAAGAACAAAAGCAATGATGGCAAAGGAGAAGAAAGATTTGAAAGGAAATCCTGCTGGACAGAGGAACAGAACTTCTTCAAAGTGTGGGCATACACTTGAAGGGTCACTGGACTCGAATCATCAACTCTGCTTTCTCCCCACAGATGCTGCCATTCTTGCCAAGTTTCTCCGGCATTTTCTGTTTTTGTTTCAGATCTTCAGCATCCACAGTACTTTGTTTTGTTTTAGTGTTTAACTCATTGTCACAGCTCTTCCAGATATGCCAATCTTGAAGGGTCACTGGACTCAAAAAGTTAAGTCTCCACTCTCTCCAAAGATGTTGCCAGTCCTGCTGAACTTCTCCATCAATTTCTGTTTTTGTTTCAGATTTTCAGAGTCCACCGTTCTTCGTTTTATTCCTGTTTGGTTAATCGGTTACACAAAAGTGTTCCGTAGTCCTATGAAACTTCATTTCACAATTTCTTGTTAGCAATTGATTTTCAATGGGTTCTTTAGGAGACTTCTGGATGCATGGGAAATGCTCATTGGAATCTTCAATTTCTTGGGCAATTCCCAGACAGTCTGCTATGTCTGGTTTATGTATTGTTCTGACAGCAACTCCAGTCTTTCCTTCTCCAATGACTATCTGATTATCAGAACATCTGGGCCAATGTCTATAGAAGAAAGAACCATTATCATACCTACTGAAGGGGGGTATTTTGCCCAATGTTAGTAAATTATAAGTTTGCATTTGCTACAGTCACATATACTTTGCTCACAGGCCAGATGTCTTCATTGAAGCAGATCTACTTTAACTCTTCATGTTATTTTTAATATTATTAATTTGTGTCCTGCAATATTACAAAATTACTCAACATACTGGTTAGTTTATAGGATAATATTTATTGTAAATTGTATTTATATTATTACAGAAACAGATCCATTTGTTTTCCCAAACAATAGTGATGAGACACAATCAGGATGGTTGTGAAACAAAGAAATTAAAAGAAAAATTGTTCAAGTAAATCTCATGGTACAGAGTGCACAAATAAAAACAAAATCGCATGAAGACCACCACTGCCCACTACTGATGGCCACTTCAAAGACACCAAAATATATCTATATGCATGACCCTTTCCTATCTCGTACATATTCATTTTCTAGGCGTGTTTTTATGGTGCTGTTCCTATTTCTCTCTCCTTACATCAACATATTTTTGTCCCTTATCTCTGCTTTTGTTTTTCCTACTTTGGTCAGTTACATTTCTGTCCTCGTGTGTGCTTTCTGCTAGAAATGGCACACAATGGAGTGTGCCCAGACTGACTTCCAGTTTACCATCATGTGTGGCAGGAACAAACTGACATTAATTACAGCTTGGTGTTACAGAAGGCATCAGCCAGCAGCGCCAGCCAGCACCGGGGAAAAGATCTAGTCAGGGGCATATTTGGCATCAGGCAGTGAAGTAGGACCGAATCAGGTCAGGTCAGGTTAGGTTACGCTAGATGGAGTTCGAAGCTCAGAATATTGTAAAAGAATTGTGTAAATTAAATTAGACAGTCTCATATGACATGAGACAAACTGTTACAATTCAGGCAGTGAACAGTTACAAAGACTGTTTATTAATATGGTAATGACCATGTTTTATAAATTCTTAAATACATAATCGGTTTCCCCTCCAATTATACCTCTCCCCTAACCGATTATAGTATTGTTAGAAAAATTCCCAAATAAACAACCTAATAAAATATTCTCTAAAATAGACTACTCATCAAAATCAAAACTACACCTACATGTGCACAGACAAGAGAGGTAAGGCAGACACTTCACTGTAACAGTCCTCTGAGATGATAATTTAATACAATGAAAGGTTGAAAAGTTGTGCAGAACTGAGTAAGAGCTATTGTGAGCATTCCAAAAAAAAAAAAAAATTCTCTGGTCAGAGCAAAAGAATTGGGCAGATATTCTCAATTTGCACAACGCAGTCTGCAGCTTTGGCTATTAGTAAGAAACTTTGGCACATGGATTCCTCGCAATAATTCAAAGTAAACTCCCTTTTATACCTGAGCAAAATATATTACATTTGAGAAGCCAAACTAAGTGACAGGATTGTGGATATTCCAAAATTTTGTTACAAACAACAGTTTTGCGTTTTTTATGAATTTGATGCCAGCAGAAAATAAAAGCTTTTTAAAACACACACGCACCTGTTGGATAAAGTCTCTTGTTCATTTCAAAGAAGATGGGGTTCTTACTCAAAACATAGGCAGTCACCACGTCTCCTTTATGCAAATAGATTTTTACCACATTCAGCTCCTCCTTGTTTGGTATGAGATGTGATAGCTCAGCACCAGATAAAGACGGAAAGGCAGACTGTACGTCAGCCTTGAGCTTCCTCCTGGGGAATGACAAGCAATTTGTGTGGGTTGCTTAAAATAACAATTCCTCTCACTTTGCTGAAATATTAATTTCAATCATAACCTTACATTTGGATTTCCGTCTTCAAAGTGTGTAATTATATTGCATTACATCGGAATAAGACTGAACTTTCTTGTTCTCTCGATTTAAATGATTGATTTGCAATGGCTTGTCCAAACCTATTTGCATATTCTCCATGAAAAGCTTATTTCCAAGTACAATGATATTCTGATGTCTCTACCTACTTAGCAGTGCATGACATGAAAGAGGCATCCTATAATATATCCATACAATTATGTGCTCTATTACCTGTAACTAAACAGTCACATGCAGTACTTCAAACCAAAAAACTTGCTAATAAATTACTATTCCTCTCCAACTATACAGTTGTTCATGCTCCAAATTCTATGCACTGTCAACAACTGTAAACAAGTAATTGAAAACAGAGATAGTAAGAACTGCCGATGCTGGAGTCAGAGATAACAGTGTGGAGCTGGAGAAATTTTTTCTGAAGGGTCCCGACCCGAAACAGCAGCTTTCCTGCTCCTCTGATGCTGCCTGGCCTGCTGTGTTCCTCCAGCGCTACATGGTGTTATAATTGAAAACAGTCTTGCAATTTCTGAAGGTAATGCTCACTTTCAAACACTGAAGAAAAAAAAACAGTCCTAGCAGAACTTGAAAGTCGGAGAGCAGTTTGCCACCCATCTAGTTATGGATCCCAAATTTGCTTTTATTGAATCAGCCATTGAGAAAGAGCTTTATTCAAATCAGATATGAAGAATGAGTTTTATCACTGGTGGTGGTGTCTTATTATGCAATTAATTTTCTTCAGAAACATTTAAAAGATCAGAACCCAAGTAAGATCACAATGTTGTGATGATTGCTTTATCCACAATTCTTAATTTGCATTCGTGAAAAAAAATATAATTTCCATAAGTTGTTATACACTCTTCTCCTAGCGGAAGCATCTTCTCCAAGCCCACTAGGTGATACACCTTTTGTTCAAAATACTTTTGGTATTAAAGGTAAGAGTTATAAAATTAATCAATCTCCAAGTATATTACTTGATGCTTTGCACATCAGCAATAACTATTTTTTTCTCCCCCCTACCTGCCCCAACCACTGCCAATTCTGATCTATTGGCACGTACACCTCAACAGTAAAGTACCCAGTCACCAAACAAACAATCTCTGACATAAGTGTGGAGCTGGAGGATTGCAGCAGATCAGGCAGCATCAGAGGAACGGGAAATTCAACGTTTTGAGTTTACACCCTTCCCCGAAACATCAATCTTCCTACTATTTTGATGCTGCCTAATGTACTGTGTTCCTCCAGCTCCATGCTGTATTGACTCTGACTTCAGCATCTGCAGATCTTGCTATCTCCTAATCTTTGACATAATTGAGTTCTGGATCAGAGTGCCAACAATAGACCAAAAATGGCAAGTTGCTTCTAAGTGTAAATGTATTGCCCATTCCATTGATTTGAAATTATTTAAAGTTATTATAAGCTGAAACTACATTTAATACAAGTACCCTGTCTCCCACCATCTAAAGTCAAGCAAAAGCAGATGACAAGTGCCTTCCCTCCACCTTGCCCATCTACAAACAAGTAAAAACATTTATAGAATTTCTTCCTTACCAGAATTTTACCCCACACTTTCCATTGCAGTGTGGTTTTAGGCTTGTAAATCCTGAAACAAATCAACCCCTGAGGCCATATACATATTTGATCTCTTAGATTATAGAAAGATGGAAAAGCTATTATCAACAAAGTTATAGCAGGGAACATAGAAAAGTTCAAGGTTATCAGCAAGAGTCAACAGGTTTTTGTTAAAGAGAAATCATGTTTAACCAGTTGGAATTCTGTAAGTAATAATGTGCTGTAGTTAAAGGCGAAACTGTTAGATATAGTGTATTTAGATTTTTAGAATTCATTTGATAAAGGTGGCACATTGAAGACTATTGTGGAAAATAAGAACTTCTGTTCTTGGGTTCCCAACTTTCTTTCACTGTGACCCCATTTTAGTGGCATGAAAATTAATGAGACCCCTCAGTGAGAACTGAGAACAAGGGCACGTTACAGCATTAACACGGTTGTTGTAACTTGTTTAGAACTTCATGACAGCTCTTACTATCTTTAATTTCACAACCCCCAAATTTTAGCTTACAAGCCCTGTTTGGGTCCCAGCCACCACATTGGGAAGCCCTGGTGTAACAGCGTATTATATTAGCATGGATAGAAAATTGGCTAGCTAACAGAAACCATTGCATATCCACGAATGGGTCATTTTCTGGTTAGCAAACCGTAAGGATGATGTGTTACAGAGATCAGTGCTGAAGCCTGAATATTTTGCAATTTATATAAATGATTTGGATGAAGAGACCAAGGATATGGCTGTTAAATTTGCTAATGATGCCAAGATTGGGTCGAAAGAGCGAAGCGGGCTGGAGGCACGGAGTCGTGCGGAGTGGCTGAGAGGCCGAAGCAGACCAGCTGAGAGCCGGAGCGGAGTGGGCTGGAGGCATAGAGCAGTGTGGAGTGGCTGAGGGCCAGAGCAAAGCGGGCTCGAGGCATGGAGCAGTGTGCAGCGGCTGACGGCCTGAGCGAAGTGGGCTGGAGGCTGAGAGCACAGCAGGACAGTTGTTAGACTGAGGACCAGGATGGGCAGTCAGCGGCTTGCGAGGCCGATCAGACCACATGTGGAAGCCCCTGGGCTGATGTACTGCAATATGGTAATGTTTATCTGTAATATGTTTATTTAATTGTAATGTTTATCTTTTTAACTATAGGTCTTATTTTCTTAATTATACTACGAATCACTGTTAAGGTAATGTAACGTTTTTCTTCTTTATTTCTCACACGGTGGTTCATTGGTTAGCACTGCTGCCTCACAGCACCAGGGACCCAGATTCGATTCCACCCTCGGGCAACTGTCAGTGTGGAGTTTGCACATTTTCCCCGTGTCTGCGTGGGTTTCCTCCGAGTACTCCGGTTTCCACCCACAGTCCAAAGATGTGCAGGCTAGGTGAATTGGCCATGCTAAATTGCCCGCAGTATTCATGGATGTGTAACTTAGGTGGGTTATAGGGGAATGGGATGTTCCAAGGGTTGGTGTGGACTTGTTGGGCCAAAGGGCCTGTTTCCAAACTGTAGGGATTCTATGATGATGATCTGTACCTAGGTACTTTGTACCCAAGGTGAGAGGCGACACTAAAGTTTTTACTGTACTCCTGTACTTGAGTACATGTGACAATAAAACCTAATAATAAAAAGTAGGTTGTGAAGAAAAAGGATAGGAGAGTACAAAGACACATGGTTCTGAGGAGCCGAAACATTAACTCTGTTTTGTTCTTCACAGATGCTGCCAGACCTGCTGAGCTTTTCCAGTAACTTTTTATGTACAAAGACACATGGATAGGTTGAGTCAGTGGGCAAAAATCTAGCAAAAGGAGTATAACGTTGAACTATGTGAAAATGCCAATTTTGGCAGGAAGAATAAAAAACAAACTTTATGTTCTGAGATTGCAGAGCTCTCTGATGCTGAGGGATCTGGTATCCTGAATGCGTGTATCAAAGAAGATTTATGCCTATACAGTAAGTAATTAAGAAAACAAACACTATGTTATAATTTATCATGAGTGGAGTTGAACACAAAAGTATGCATCAGACATATAAGACATCATGAGACCACATCTGGATTACAGTGCATAATATGGATCACCTTATCTAAGAATGATGTAATTGTGTTGGAAGAAGTTCATACAAGTATTTTGACAGGTTGTCTTATAAAGAAAAGTTAGACAGGTTATAGCTTCTTAATTTGGCACTTAGGCAGAACCTCTTTCCTTGTCCTGCTTATGTCAATGGTACCTAAATGGACCATGATAACCAGACCTGCCCTCTCTCACTGCCAGTTTATTTCCAGCCCTGAGCAGGTTCCCAAACCCTGGTACAGGCTACACAACCTTCTGGACGCTTACTCTTCACTGCAGAGAATAATGTCAATCAGTCTTCCAATACTGTGCCTTATTATGGCTACTCTTCTTTTTGCTACTGCTATTTGAATGGGTTTCTGAACTCCAATGTCATGGTTGGTTAGTTATCCACCCTGCTGTTCTCGCTCTCATCCAAACATGCAGAAAGAACCTCAAACCTTTTGGACAATAGCAAAGGTTGAGACTCCAGCACTTCTGCCCTCTGGATCTCATTACCTCACTTGCAGTCACAGTCACAATCACCCTGGCCAGGGACCAAATCAGACGACCCTATCCTAAGGGGTGTGACCACCTTCTGATACAATATATTCAGATAACTTTCCCCTTCCTTAATGTGTCCCAGTGTCTAAGTTCGGGCTCAAACAAGGTGTCCTGCGGATACAGAGGTTAGGCTATGATGGGAGATTTTCATACAAGATGAATTTAACACACTTTTCCCCATGTCATGTTACTCTGGGTCGTTCCTAGGTTGTGACATGCACCACAACAGATACAAGTCTGTGTTTTCCTTGCACTCATCGCGTATCATGGGTGAAATTAACTGTCCATTTCCATAACAAAAAAAAAAACTCTTGGCAATTAGTGTAGGGACAAAATAAAGGAGGCGTGAGGTTAGGCTGGTTTCACGAGTCTCTGGAAGGTCTCCTAAGATACGTGGCTGAAAATAATAGGACGTTCTACGCAAAAAACCAAAACAAACTTCCACCAATGAAAATTAACAGGGAAAAGCGAGTCAAAACGGTAACTCCGAGACTGCAGTTTAGCTGCTGGGGTGACCGTGGCACTGACGTGTGAATATTATATTCTGACGTCGTGGAGTTTACTGATTCCGATTATTTGTCAATGAGATGAATGTTTCACCTCTAAGGCGGTCATCCTCTCCCCAGGCCCGGCCGCGGAACACACCACCAGCGGACACCATGAGCTCACCTATCCGACCCTTTGATCGCTGTGTTGGACTTGACGCGAAAAGGTTTGGCAAACATCTTCCTTTCTTTTCTGTTTTCCTGCTAGGCCCGTGGGGGAGTCGCATTTCTTGTTTAGTTGAATTACAACTGATTTAAACGTTTTGTTTTCCTCAAACGCCAATTCCGCCGTGGATACATCTCGCCATCTTGTTCCGTGCCTTCAGTTTTCCGGGTGGAACACAAGCTTCTAAAGTGGCTGCACCAGAGGTTCCGACCCACATCATACTCCAGGCATTACTGCAAGACAAATTGTAGATCTTAAAGTCACCGTCCCTTTTATAACTTGAACACACGAGAAAAATAGTAAAGGCAAGACATCGATAACACAATAGAAGTACAAAGTTAAAAAGAAAACTGTATTCAATACAAAGAAGGACATAAAGTATATGAAGTTTAAAGTCTTTCCCCAGGTGTTAATCTGAGACCAAGTTGCTTACCAGCTGTGAATATTGCAGCTATCTTTGAGCTCCCAGGCCTTGGTTATTTCACCAATTTGTGTTGTCAGCACTTGCTTTGAACTTTCCAGGCAAAAGCAATGAAAGTGAGCTTCTTTCAGTTTGGCCAATACAAAGCCTACCCCTGCTTTGCCAAAGCAGTTGCTTGAAATACCGTTCATTTGTGAATTCCTGGGACTGGGGTCATTGTTTCCAGGCTGTCTTTCATCTTCAATATATGAAACTTATCATACATGTGTAAAGTAAATATGGGAAATGTGAGCGTCTTCATCCCTGGATAGTTTGTCTCTTCTGATAAAAGTGTTAATTTTAGTTCAGATGATTTTGTTTATTCCACATTGGTTTCCTGAAACTTGATTCAGGCTATGACTAAGTGAACAAAATTCTTAAGTTAATGTTGCCTTTTTTAAACCATTTCAGTTCACCATGAAAGTCCCAGCTATTAAAATCAGATAATGGAAGTTGAAAATTGGTAACCCATATTTTACTACTGTCGTAAATTTTGTCCTTACTTTTATATAATACTTAAGTTTAATATTGCTTATATAGTGAAATAACAAACATGTCACAATCCTTGTTGCTTTTAAACTCCACTACTCATTGTATATGATAATTGAAAGGTGTTGGGTGGAGCATTTTCCCTATAGTGCAAATTGTGGAGCAAATTTAAGGTGCTAATGTGTTGCTACTGTTATTTTTTTCTAATTCACTCATGGACATTGGCATCACTGGCATGTGTTCATTGCCCATTTCTAGTTGTCCTTGAGATAGTGGTGGTGCTTGGTTTTCCACAAGTATGCAATCACAAAGTGACAAACTTACAGAAATGCTTTCCATTATATATCTTGCAGAGAACCATGTAAAGAACATGTAGTGAGGACTGTGAAGTCAATTTATTTGTCAAAGGAAAATGTCGCCTATTACTGTCTTAATAATTTATATAAAGGAAAATTTTAAATAGTTTATTTTATAAGCACCAGCTGCCTCAAAGCACTGTATGGTGAATGAGATAGTAGGGACTGCAGATGCTGGAGAATCTGAGATAACAAGGTGTCGAGCTGGATGAACACAGCAGGCCAAGCAGCATCAGAGGAGCAGGAAAGCTGACGTTTTGGGCCCGAAACGTCAGCTTTCCTGCTCGGCCTGCTGTGTTCATCCA